TTTTTGTGACAAAAGTGTCTCGAGAAGAAATTCAATTCTGTGAGGTGAAATGTTGATATTCTCCTGGGTTTATGTTGCGCAAAATATAGATTTCAGCCTCGTGAGTGTTCATTACCACCTGGACCTCGGTTCAAGTCCGTGTGTCTTACTCTAAGTTTTTCTTTCAGTTTTCTCAACATAACGGAGAAGAGGAAATCCAATCAAAAAGCTCTTAGGACGCTGCACCGGCTGTGTTAAAGTGCCATCTGTTGGCAGACAAAGAAATGATTTCCTATGAAAACAGACACATACTGCAGTGCAACAGGAGCTTAAAAATGTTCATTATCTTGCAAGACTCATGTAACACCACAGCCTCATGAAGCCATATGTGTAAAATGGGTTTCATTTTTTACTCCACTGTGGATTATGAGATGACACAGGACTGTATGTTTTTCTGATTACTTATTCATAGCAACAGTCCGTGCCTTAGCGTCAGTCTCGAATCTGTCTGTCTTTTTACCCCGCTTTTGCTGTCAGTCACTGTCAGCGCTGTGCTCTGTTCACATGCAGAGGGAGAAGGGGGAGTGTGGCGTCCCTGGGGAAAAGGGAGAGAGAGGAGATCCCGTACGTATTTCCCTGCCGTGACATTTACAATGGCGCCGTGTTACAGAGTCATTAACCGAGGCCTCCTCCCACAGGGTCAGCCAGGTGCCGAGGGGACTGGCGGCGCGAAAGGACAAAAAGTAAGTCACTTCAATGTCAAATGTCAAGCATGATGAGTCCCTCTGTTTATGCTCCCTCAAACTCACTGTGCTTGGGTGCGGAAAGGGTGCAGGCAAGTTCAAGCAGATTTACTGACACCTTGATTCAGTCTCCTTTGTGCTAGTTATGTTCTTGGACTCTGGATACCTTTCAAAGGCCTTTGAAATCGTATTGCATTAAATAATGAATCTGAAGGTGTGTATTACTTGTTTGTCTCTTGTGCTCCAGTAAGCATGATTTAAGTGATTTTCTTACTGCTGACAGATTGTGTCTAATCTCTGGGTGTGTGTCGTTGGGTGGCTTTGTTCCTGTTTGTCTGTGTACAACTTGTGTTTTCCATAAGAAACTGACAACCGTTTAAAAAAAACTGCTTAACCTTGCTTTGATTTTTTTTGTTGTTGTTGTTTTATCTCAGTTTCTTTTTAATTGATGAGAGCATCTAAAAATATTTTTTTAAATATTTTTAAGGAAGACTTGAATGCAGAAAGTTGGTTGAGGAAGTCTAACTCTTTAACTTCTCTGTAACTTTTACTGTCCAAAGTATGCATTTGTATTCCTGGCTATTTATTTTAATATACCAAACATAAAAACCCTTCTGCCTTCAGAATTCACCTAAAGATTAAATATAAACCAAATCCCCTTTGCGTAATTTATATTGTAAAAACAGTGTGTGGCAGAACACATCAATCTGCAAACACCAACCCCACCATAGTGGTGGCATCATCGTGCTGTTTGTTGGCTTTTCCTCAGCATGGACAGGAAAGCTTGTCTGAGTTTATAGGAAGATTGATGAGGCTAACTTCAGGGAATTTTTTAGAGGAAAATCTGAGAAACTTGAGAAATTGGATGGAAATTCACATTACTAAGGAACAACGACCCCAAACGCAAATTATATGGCACAATTAAAATGCTTCCATAAAACGCCAATAAATAAATCCAATTCAGATGTTGTGGAAAGATTTGACCATTTCAGTTCACAAATGTCCTTCCTTAAATCTGCTTGAGCGTGAACGATTTCAAGACAAAGGTATTTACGAAATATTCAGTCTTTATAATGAGCAACATGACTATGCTCTCTGTAGTGTTGTGTTGAAGTTAGAAAATTTGGGGTGGGGGGAAAGTTGTATGGTTATAAATACTACAATGTATCAAGAAACTGATTTATTTTTTTAAATTATTTTATTTTTCTATTTTTATTTCTTTTTGCAGAAACCACCTTTTCTGCAATTCAAGTTTTCATCTGGCAACTATTAAATATATTTTATGGAAATTAATAATCTTACAATTTAAAGCGACTCATTAGTTTACCTTTTATGACAGAGCATTTGGTTGAATCTCGAAAATCTTCACTAAGGAGATTTATTACTTCAAACCTGTCATTACTTTTAGCTATTCCACTTGTTCCAAAAGCAGCCATGCTTTCAACACATAATTGCACATAATTGCTTGAAACTAAACTACTGACCCCTTATGTCTTCTCTTCTACTTTAATAATTTAACCCATTTTTTAAAATGTAGTCCTTCTAAAAGAATTTGTTTCACTAAATTAATTCTAGTTCATTCTTAAAAGATGTGGATGTGAATCCTGGATTTCAAGTTCTACATTGTTAAGGTATTCTAAAGCACGAAAGGCTGCAACATCCAGATATAGATTTTTCATCAAAGTTGTCATGATAAATCTTTAGATATGGTAAAATTAAATTTTTTATGTGCTAAAAACAGTGAAGGAACCAATGCAGTTGGTTAAGTTGTCTGTGCATCATGTCCCGTACAAGACTTTGTTAAAAATCATAACCAGAAAATGAACCTTGTACAGTTTCTGCATTGAGTAATGTAATGTTCTGCATACAACTGCAGTGATGGATGGTTGTAATCAAACAAAGCTTCTGCAGAAAACTTTGTTTAGGCTGCTGCAAAAACTCAAGTTTCATTTTTAGATTTTTCTCATGAATAGTTCAGCAGGGTTTAACCGTAAACCTCCTAAGCCAAGTGTGGTGGCCAAAAATAGAGATGTACCAGAGAGATTTTGCAATTGTCTGACCTGCTGATGCCAACTTCTTTTTAAGAACTAGAAATAACAATAAAAAAGAACTTTTCTTCATTTTGGATTATGAATTGTACTGTGGTAAGAATGAAATGTTTATAGTAAACTAATGATTTCTCATAATCAGTCCAAACAGAGCTTTCTCTGTTGCTGGAATTGTACTACTGCAATGACATCCTCCAAGTTATAAATAGAAAGGTATTTGCAAAATAAAACACACACAAAAAAACATCATATCTTATTCATTCTTTTACAACATTGCTTGCAGTTTACTAACCTTTTTTGGATACCTAAAAAGCTAATATGTACCATGTCATAAGATATATATGTTGTTCTACAAAATCACTTCTCAACAAATACGGATGCCCAACTTGATAATTGTGAGAAAAAGTCTTCATTTATTACTATAAATCATTGATATGAAGAAGCCTTAAGCAGCTTTTTTGTGGTTAATCATTCATTGTTTATATCAGTAGCAAATATGTCTTTGCGTGTGTGAGGGAGAGAGACAGAGAGAGAGAAAGAGAGAGCATCCTGAGAGGAGTTTTCTATTTCAAAATTCATTGACTTTACATTTTATCATTTTTTAATCATTTTATATTAGTTAAAAGTTTGTCAATTCCATGTTAGTTATAAACAAATCACTTTTTATATTCCTTGTAGACTTGCATATCCTTACCTTAGCATGAGCTAATGTAGCATCCTCCGTGATTATAGTCAAAAGGATACAACAGAGAAACTTTGTTCCACTCCCTGTTATTTGCTGAAGTTTAACACCTTGTTGTTTCAGTCTGAATAAACAGTCAACATGCCTCCATAGATGTCTGACTTCAGCTTTATTTACTTTATTGATTTAGAAAATAGTCAATTGAGTCTTTTTCACTCTGTATAACTTCCAGTGCGACCTGTGAGACTTACGTAAGGCACCTTTCCTGATCAAAAGAAGAAAGAAAAGAGATTGGATTTTAAGCTTTTGATCGAACAGTCAGGGCTGGTTAAATGAAATTAGTTGGCTCCTGTCAACAGTCAGTTTCTTGGTTTCATGTCGAGCCCAAAATGAAAGTTGCCTGAACCACTAAAAAGGCAAAAACGAGTTGTGATGTCATGAACTTCAATCCCGACCACTTTGCATAATCTGCTGAATTTGTGCAACTTTTTCTGTCCTCAAAGCAGACTTTTCTCTGTCTTGTTGGTCCCAAGCTGCTATTTTACTGTCTTCTGCCATTGCTTTTGATTACCAGCATGTAACTTGAATATATCACCCACCACCACTATGTCTTGTGGCATTGAAGAGGTTATGTATATTTCACAGTTTCATTAAAAGCAAGCTGTGAATAGTTCTGCTGGTGGTGCAAAGAAAAAAAAAAGATTTTTTATGTAGATTGGCACTCAAGGAATGAAAGAGAAACTTGCTGTTTTTAGTCGTCTCTTTTAAATGATTTACAGTCTAAGCAGTCTAGTACACAACAGCATTTCAGTCTTAATCAAAGGAATAATGACAGGCTCCTGAAGCAATGCTTCAAATTAAATAATTGACTGGTTTACTGAACAACCCTTAGGATTTCAGGATTTACATATTGTCTCAGAATATCGGCATGTCTTATATCTTCACACTGATGGGGATTTAAAGACATAAAAAGCCCCCATTTGCGATCAAAATTAAGAGTTTAACAGCAGTTTGTATACTTGGTAAACCACAGCATGTGCTCCCCGCATGCTTGTTAATTGTTCAGTATGGCACAGAGTACAAATGTGGTGCTTTTTAGTTTTGTGGAGGGAGAACATTTCCGAGATGTAAATTGTGAATTTAGAGGCTCCCTCCAGCAAGTGTCACAATTAAGAACTCTTTAATGTTCCCTGGAGCTCCCCGTAAATCCATTGCAAAAAATAACATGACCTAAGAACTGTAACCTTTCTTTCAAGATTCTAAAAAAAAAAAAAAAAAATTACAAGAACTTCAAAACACTGGTTAATAAATCCAGAAAAGGTTTGGGGGTGTAAAAGGGCGTAAAATCTCCCGTGTTGTTTCAAAAGATCTGGAAAGCAGAGTTACACACGTGTATTGTTTGTAATGCTTGTAGGATGTAACAGGCAATTTGTTTCTCTTGTTATCATCAGGGTGATGTTGGTCCTCCTGGTCCTCCTGGTTCTGTAAGTACAATTTTGTGATCAAGCTCCACAACAGCTTTTTATTTATTTATTTTTTTCTATTTTCTATTTTACTTACCTTTTATTGTAAGAGTGATACATTGCCTAACCTCTCACCAGCGTGAGAACAGACCAAAACATCTCTGCATCAGCGAGTGTTGACCTGATACCATCTCGAGACAAAGCAGAAGGAATCAACAGGCATAACAGTGTTTACCTCTGCTGTCACACCCCCAACATGCTACCATGCGACTGTGTAAACAATTTCCTCCCTCTTGAAGATGCTGCGGACTTACTGTCTGAAGTTATGTTTTGATTTGCTTTGTGTGCTGTGTATGAGCAGCAGAAAAGAGTACATAAGAGCTTCAGATATGGAAAACCTTTTCTTTCTGTGGCAGATGAGCTTTTTTTGGGTTCAATTAAACCGAGAAAAAGCTTCTTTGTTACTTTTAAGTAATTATTTTCACATTTCCAGCAAGCGCCCTGTGAAAGATCTTTGCTGATTGCAGAGAATCGTTGAAGTAAAAAAAAAAAAAAAAGAAACGCTAGCTCCAGATGATGGCTTAATCTCCTTCTTGATACTCAAAAGGCTTCATAGTGTGAATAAATTAGGGTCACTGGGCACAGATTGTTTTTTTATGTTAATAATTATAAATTATAGAAAATGATGTGGTTTGGGTAAGTGGAGCTTTTAGTTAAAAAGTAGGGACACTTTTTTTTTTTTTTTTTAGAAGAAACTTATGTCAACGTGAAGCTCTGGCAAGTGCTAAAGGAAACACAAAGTGGCTGAGTAGTAGAACTATTTTCTTAGATATTTAAAAGTAAAAGCAAAATTTCGTGGGAGGAAACAGTTAGGATGTGCAAGGTGGCAATAATATCACAAAAACCAGTTGGAAAAAAATGCTTTAAATGGTCAAATAAAAACATGTTCTTGAAGCCTTTGTTTCTCAAAGTGAGGGCTTTGGCATTTTGATGACTGTCTGCTAATGGTTTTTGTTCTGAAGAACAGCTGTATATTGAACCCACTGAAGGCCTTGGACAAGAGCTTGGAAACAAAGTTTGATCGCTCTCATTCATATTCTCATTTTCCCCTGCTTGTTAACGAGCAATTCATATGGAAATGAGACATGTTAATTATAGATCGAAGAAATATCGCTTGCTCTCTTTTGGTTTCACTGGTTTAGATCTTACCAAAGGAAAGGCAGTTCGTTTAACGGGAGAGGAGGGGAGGGGGTTTGAAAGGCTTTATAAAGCAACAGGGGTTTAGTTAGTAGTTTTTGCCTGGCTATAAATGAAAGGGTTGAGCATATGAACATTGTTGTTTAGTGAGGTGTTTGCCTCTATAGATGTGCAGTGGAGAGGGAGGCATTAGTCACTTGATAAATGAGTCTGTTTGAATATTTTAGTATACCGGTCTCTGTCTGTGCTCTGCTTCTTCCCACGGCAGATAATTTTGGCAGTTACGCATTGATTTCCCTTACGCAGCAGAAGCAAGGGTTCACATCATTACCCTCCCTTCATAAAACTTCCGTGCCTCTGTTTATTAGTGACAAGGAGGGGAAGTCGACTCACAGGCATGCACGGCCATCACATCAAGCAATGCCCTTTAAGGGAGAAAACAGTCCTCTTTTTACTGCTCCACCTCTGAACACTGGTGTTTTATTATCTGTGAAGCCAAATCTGTTATGCCAATTTATGTTAGAAGGAAATGGTCCTTTGCAGAACAGCCCTGTTCTTGCAAAAAAAAAAAAAAAAAGCTTTTAAAGAAATTTTGTTAAATACTAATGGCAATCAGACTTTGTTACATATCTGAGGACAAAGTGGCCTCTTTGTTTTCTAACAGCAGGTAAAGACTGACTGATTATGCCACCGGGAATCAGCACTTGCCTGGAACGCCGTTGCTAAAGAGAGCCATTCATGTCAAGTTCATAGAGCTTGTAATCAGAGAAATGATCAGATAGGGCTCAAAGGCACACTTTAATCAGGAAAATCGGAACCGTACAGATGGAAAATAAAGTATCTTAAAAAAGACAATAAAAGCTTCACAAAATGTACATCTAATGAAAGCATCAAGATGTCACCAACGTATGGATCAATGTATATTCTACAATCTATATTGTCTTGCAAAGTCTGAAGTAGCCATTCTTGCTCAGAGTTGGGGTACATATGGCTATCAATGGCAATATTGTGCCATTTATTGCAACGTCATTTTGTTTTCTTTTTTGACAAATTGTTTGGATTGTTCAGCTGTAACATAAACAAGGTGTGTGCCATATTTCAACCAACAATACCAGTAATATTTTGTTACAAAATAACTGCTATATGTGACATTATCATAGGTAATGATAAAAAAAAAAAATACGAGCAAGTGGTTTAATTATAAATGTTAGACTTTCTAATTAAACTCTGAATCAGTGAGTTGGCTCCAGAGAGTCGTTTCCCGTGTTTATGTAGACCTGCTCACTGCTTATCGACAGTAACTGCCAGACTTTTGAAGACCATTTCATTTCCAGAACATTGTGTCTTTTATTACTTGTAGGTGATGACAGCTCATGGGTTAAGACAGCTCTCTGGAACTGTAAGCAAATGTGTATGCAATACATGTTCTGTGTGTTTGCATACGCCTTCTTATTGTCTCATGTTCTCTGTTGAAGCTGCACCAAATACATTACCCAGTTAGATTTTTTGATGAGGTGTGTTTTCTCTTGTTTTTCAAGGATGAAAGAGTCCAGAAGGGTGAGAAGGGAGATGAGGTAACTATGCTTGCAGAAGAAAGCTGCACTGTGATTCAACTATGATTTTCAAGCACTGCATCCTACACCACGGCATGAATAATACTTTACATTCCTTATGTAATGTCAACAGAAGTGTCACTGATATTTGATTGTGAAATAACAATTGATCACCTGCTGGTCAGACGGAAGGTTTTATTGCACCCTTGTGCTCAATCGAAAAGCACAAAGTAAATCGCAGAATAAAGCGGCTTGGAGTTATTGTTTGGATCCAGGAATTGTAGATGCATCCACTTCAGGCCAGCAAATTATAAAAGCCTCTGATGCAGCTTTTGACCAGACATCAAAAGGCATCTCCATATAATCCACATCATAAATATTTAGGCAGTAGTTCATTTTTTTTTATCTTGAGGGTTTTTATGTGTGACCGCATTCTGAAATAAACAATATTAAAGGGCCCCATCTGAACTTCAACTGGAGTAGGTTTATATAAGCGCTGTGTTTGATAGGGAATTATTGTTAAAGTACGGAAAATGTCATGTGTGGCTCAGAGCTGATAGGAAGTTAGGAATCAAGAGCTTCTGATGTGATAGAGAAAATGATATAGAGGATGCTGAAATAAGAAGCAAGATCAAATGTAACACACAAGAAAATTTAGAAAAAAAAATGTTTTAAAGAAAACACAAATTAACCTCACTGCCAGTTAATAAATGTTTTTCATAAGAGAGGTTCGCAAAAGAAAAACAAAGAACACACACCAGTTTCTTTTTTGATCAAATAGCTGCATGGGTGTCAAATGCATTACTCTGAAAACGTCACCTTCAAAACGGAGGCAGACAAAGGCAAGAATCGAGCACACAGATTGATGCTCGATTCATTTAGTGTTCATATAAAAAAGAACACTAAAAAGGGGGAATCACAATTTCTGTGTAAAGTTTAGACCTAGACGCGCTGAACCTAATACCCAGACAACCCAAAACCGTACCTTTGTAATCTGTCAGTGGTCGAAAAAATCACTGACACAGAGAGGCAAACATAACAAAAAGGTGTTAAAGAAAAAGGGCAGAAGAAGACCAGAGAGTTCAGATGATCAAGGCCACACAGGAACACCATGAAGCAACAGAAAAAGAAAAAAACAGGGTAGAGCAAACGTTTTTATAGAACAGGAAAATTGGTAGCAGTCCAGAGGTGAACAAAGCTAAAGAGATGTGGTTGGGGAATAAAGAAGAAGACCTTATTTATACTGGTCTGCTGCAAAAATAAAGCCACTTACCTGACATACTGTTGGTGTCATTCCTGTGAAATTGAATTAAACAGGAATTACAGCAGGAATTTGTTTGCTAAGCCCAAACAACAAAAGCATAACATTTTTAGAGTTAAGAGTTTGATTTAGTCAAATTATTACAACGTATTCTGCATCCTAAAGAAGTCACTGAGGACATTGCAAACACAATCAAATTGATGGTGTTGCAACGAGACATCTCATTTACTTTAACACCAACTAAATTTGTAAACCGTGATGTATCAAAACTGTGTATTTCTAACACAGTACTTACAGCCGCCTCAAAAGTGGGCATCATATCAATTAAATTCTTGTTGAAGTTACCAAGGCCGTCCTCTCAGGAAGGAACTCTTTCGTTCCTTGTTGCCATGTTATCATTTAAAAACTTGCAGGTCAAAATGGATTATGCCATGAATCTTATGATGCCAGATGACAGACATCAAGAAAGCCCAAAACACTCATGAGAGATCCGCCCCAATGCACCAATAAACAGCTGACTTCAAACCAGCCCTGACTGGTCAGCCGATTGGGATCACGGCTCTCAGGGTTCCAGGAAGCCAGGTAGGATCAGGGTAGAAGTGCTAATTGAAAAACTCCGGACCCAACTTTAAAACCAGGCTGGTCAGTGAAAAGGGGACTTTTGAGACCAAATCCTATCATCCAAGATGCCCAACACATGACTTGGGGCTACCTCCAGGATTTGGGAGTGAAGTTGATGGAATGATTAGTGCCAGACTAATCAGCACAATCACATTGAAAAGTATGTGACCACGCTGCTGACCACCATGAAAAAGAAATGCCTGTATGGTTCTCCAGCATATTACTTCTTTCTTCAGACTTCACTAAACTGAAAAAGAGTCGGTGACAAAATAACCTGTCTAGTATTGGCAGAGAGGATTAGGTTGCATTTACACTATTAACACTCCTGGTAACGAAGTCTTAAGAAACTTATTGGTTTTACCAAAAAACAACTATAGAGCATTTGTTGCCACTAAAATATTTTTTTCCAATGTGCTACTTTATTTTTTTAAGCCGATGAGACATTGCAGAAACATCTAATTTGTAATGGACACGTTTTTATTCCCCCGGGGTATAAACATGACATGACACAGAGGCCCATTTCTTTCAGATGCTGGCCATGAGGCAGAGAAAGAACCCATATTTTTTTATTTTTTTTTTTATTTTGCTTTCATTCACAATGAGCAGGATGGAAAAACAAGTACAACAATGTTCAAAGCTCACTATTAGGGGACTGCAGGAAAGAAGGGAGGTGGTCTTGAGGTTATTTTGTCTCCATGACAACCATTAGATTATCAACATGCCACCTGGTTGATGGAGAAAAATGCCAGAAAAAAAAAAAAAAAATTGTCCTGCAGTCCCGGAGATATCCATTTGTTTTCTAAATATGCATGGACCTCAATCAGAATTATTTGTTTTGGTCAGATAAGATGATGTTTGAGCTTTTTTGCATGTAAAATACAGACAATCTTAAATAGAAATCTGATAGGTCTTGATAAAAAAGCATATGGTAAAAGCTGGGTTGGTATGTAGTCTTTAAACAGGGTATGACATAAAATATATATATATATATATATATATATATATATATATATATATATATATATATATATATATATATATATATATATATATACATATTATCCGAGGCTATAAAACAGCCTCAGAAATAGTTCACCAGAGATAAAATCTAACTTTTTTGGCGGCCGTCTCAGTCCCCAGAACTAAATCCAATAGAAAATTTGTGTGAGAGTTAAAACAGACGGGAGCATAAGGAAGGATCCAGGACTCAGGATTGTGCAAATTTCCCAAATATGACAATTCTCCTCTTCACAAGATGAGAACTTGTGAAGATGCACATAGATGAGCTTTCTCCTGAAGGGTGACAATGTTCTATGCTATATTACATTTTATATAGTGCGCAAAAGACGGAAGATGTTCTGCAGTATGGTGAACATTTGTCTGTTTGATTAAAATTAGGTTAAAGGTTATAAAGCAAGAAAAAAAAAACTACTTTTGATTTTATTCATGCTCTACAGAGACTTCACTCTTTTTTTTTTTCTTGCCACTAATAGCTGTAACACAAAAACTTACATCTTGAAAGTCCTCATGGAGTCTTTTTAAAGCTCACCATCATCAGCAAGACGAATGAGTTGCTTCACTGTGTTGTTTGTGCCTGTGCTGACAAAGGACGCCTTCCCGTTTCTTTACCTGTCTGCAGGGCGAGAAAGGAGCTCAAGGACTGCCGGGCCTAAAGGTGACTTATTGAGGACTTCACTCTGGCACTAAATTCTGAACATCAATATCCACTGCCAACAAAATAAGGCTCAAAAGACCTTCATATCTGTAAAGAACCATTGTAGTCTTTCTCAGGGTTTGAGTAACTGTACCAGAAGGTTATAGTACTTTAGGTTTATAGACTGTTAAAAGTCTGTTTGTTTTTTTTTTCTTTGGAGAAAACTCTTCCTTTGACACAAGTTCTCAGATGAGACCATGAAGAATGTTTTTGAGCTGTCATCAGCCGTGTCATTCATTTCCTCTTCAAGCAAAGTGCTGATATGTCTTCCAAAAGGTTTAAGAAATAATGTCTATGTGTACAAAAAGTTCTAATACTTTTTGATTCAAAAAGGAGTCACAAATAAACACACGATTTCTAACAACAAAGCACAAATACCAATATGTTTGTTTTTTTTCTTTTCAAATGTTCCTTTTTCCCTTTTCCCTCTTATTCCTGCTTTGTGGTAATGTAACTAGGGAAGCATGGGACCTCCGGGACTGAAGGGAGATCAAGGATTGGAGGTAAGCCTTGGATCTACGATTTCACTATGACACGCAGGTGGTTTTAATTTTTATGTTTTGTGTGAATAATTGTTACATTTCTTTGAGGAGTGGTTTTGTCTAGGGAAAATGTCTTCATGAAAGCAATGCCTTGCAAAAACATTTCAACACCCCATGAAACTTTGAGGAAATGTCATCTCACAGCCAACAACTTTGAGACATTTGGGATTTCATATGACAGATCACATAGGATAGTCCTTAAATCCAGCTGTTTTGTAAAGGATCCAAGGGTTTGATAGAGAGCATTAGTTAACAAACAGCATCGTGAAAATCAAGGAACACACCGTTCAAGTTTGTAGTAGTTTAAAGCTGTGTTTGTACATAGAACAATATGCAAAGCTTTTTGGATACTTCAGATGTCTCTTCAATCCCTCTAAATATAAAAAGAGTCAGCCTCAGTTGCACACATACTGAGACACGGTCATCATTTATGAAAGAATGGCAAGAAGAAAGCCATTTCAGAAACAATAAAAAGTCATAAGAAGTCAATCTCGGACTTTGATGGAAGCCTTGGAGGGGACACATAAAATATGTGGGAGAAGGTGTGTTATAATGTGCCATAATGGACCAGTCCAAGTCTAGAACTTAACCCAACGGCAAATTTGTAAACGTTTGTTCACAGACTCTCTCAATCTGGCCAGGTGTGCTGAAGCAGAGAGAGATCTAAAAAGTTGCAGGACACTGGCTTTTGAGGACTGGAGTTTGTTTCAGCTATTATTCCAGCACAAGTTAATTCTGCAGTATTTTAGGGGGGCTGAATACAAACACACATTTTTCAAACTATTAGTTTAAGGAATTGTTCAAAAAAGTGAAAACTTTCCAAAAACACTAAGTTACATCAAACTAGCTTAATACTACTCAGGACTGTGACTCTATCTCCACAAAAAAAAAAAAACACATGGTTTTGGACTGTGGCAGGAAACCAGAGTACCCAGAGGAAACCCAAGGATGCATCTCACAGAAAACATGCAGGCTATGCATGGAATTCACTTGTCTGGATTTGAACCTCTCATTAGTTTTGCAAATTCCACGTGAGAAGGATCTGTCACATCACACTCTGCAAAATGATATTTAACATTAAATAAAACGTAGAAACTCCCACTTGCCAGACCAACAATGTAACTCTTCTGATTAGGGATTTTCTCAACTGAGCCGGGCCATGAATGCTGGGCCAGATAGTATATAGTTAAATGCAAAAGATAGCCTAAAGTGTTGTTTTTCGCTTTCTACTTTACCAGGGAAAACAAGGTCTACCTGGATCCACTGGGCTCCCTGGACTCCCAGGCGATTCTGTAAGTAGTCTGGCACTAAACAGCAGCACTTAATGTCAAGCTTTTCTTTTCCCCCAGTGCCTTATCTGTCACCTTGCCATATCCTTTACTCTGCTAACTCATCCTGTCAAGGCAAAAGAGAGAGATACACAGATCAACCTGAACAGGCACAGATCGAGAACAGGTCAGAAGAAAAAAAGTCCAGATTAGTATTTTATTTTATTTTACATAGACGACCAGTAATCAAATTTAAGAATTAAGTAGTGGAAAGAGGCAAATCTAAGCGCTTTATGCCAGCGACGGAGGCAGCAGCCCAATCTGTTCTCTGCACCTGCTTCGGTAATGAGCATCTGTCTTTATTCAAAACCAGGGAGGGAAAGAGGCATTTCATAAATCCTGGCCAGGGGAAGTTTTGTTGGAGCACAGCTGCCCGCTGAAGCAGTGAGGAGGAGGAGATAAATGTGTGTGGAGAGATGAAGGCCTGGTGATAGATGTGTCTCTTTTTGGCACTATTTACAGGGCTTACCAGGGGAGCCGGGGGTGCCTGGGAGAGATGGCCTGAAAGGAGAAAAGGTAGGTAAACATCAAATCAAGCTTTCACCTCAAAGACAAATATAAACTAGAGATCTTTTATCACAACTTGAACACGCTAGACAACTTGCGGAGACACATTTCAGATTGCTCGTCCTGCACACCAGCCTCAATTACATTGTGGCTTTATGTTCTCATGCTGGATGTCTTTCCGCGGAAGAGCTGAAAGCAGCAAAGTAGGAAAGTGGAAAAGTGTGTAGTTTAAATTTAACCTCAGAAGGTGCACTCGAGGTCTCCTGTCCACTGGAGTCACTTCTGTGCACCAAAGTGACTCCAGTGTATTATACTGAAGGGTGGAATTAACCAAAATCGCTCGTGGGAGTACTTTTATCAACATTGTAATTTTGGACAGTAGAATTTAGAATTTGCATTTACTTTACTTATTAAATATGTTATAAATGATTACCTATTGAATGTGATTTTTGCCTGTCTTTTTTTTTTTTTTTTTTTTTTTTTTTTTGGGGTTTTTTTAAAT